TCAATCAATCAATCCTTTCTTAGTACCAAAATTGCAAAATTACATGCATATCAAACAACAAAAATACAGAAAATTGGTACAAGCCAGCTGTAATAAACGAGACAGTTGGCAAATTATAAGTTAGATTTACATGTTTTTGGTCAATAGAAGTATATATAAAGAAAGAAAAAGGAGAAGAAAAAAGAAAAGAAAAGAAAAGGAACAAATAGTCTAGGATCGTTCTGTAAGTTAATTAAGTCTGTAAGTTTTCGTTCATCCATGGAAAAGTACTGAGTATAGGCCGAGTAAACTTAAGTTATAGAATTAAAAGTAAATTACTAGAGATGCCAGGAGAGGTAAATTTATAAGAAAAGCGGCGAAGACTACCGCCATCCTCGTTGACCGTTGGACCGATTTCCGAGTTACGAATGGGTATCAAATCACCTACCAGTTTTATTATAATAACAATAATGATGTTGAAAATGAACAAAATTAGAACCAAAAACTCACACAGAAGAGGCTATCTCTTTATTTTCTCAAAACGGTTGTTCTGTTTACACAGAACCAGATCAAAAGACGTAACGGTCTTACCACATCCATGCGTAGAGCTTACTGTCTTGCAATTTTCAAAGCTCAGCAGCCAGAAAGCCATTCAGTCACGCCGATAAACTTAGCTTCTACAAGAAATAATCTTATGTTATTTCGTAATTTATAATTTTATAATTTTATAATAATTTTATAGTTTGAGAAGCCATGATAAATTTACTTTTTCTATGCATGAACTATTTTTTTTCCGGTCCGGTATCCTCAAAAATCGTGCGTTCTGATTGGCTGTTTGAGCGGGCGGTATTTTGTCAATATCTGCCCGCGCGCGCGGTCCGGTATCCTTTGCCACTAAACGACAACACAAAACGATTACAAAAACGAGTAAAAAAAGTACGGGGAAAAAATAAATAAGTTATTTACCGTCCTATAGTCGCGTCCGGATAGGGAAAAACTGTGCCCTCGGTATATTCAAGACCTCGGGCACAGTTTTTCCCTATCCGGACCTCCTGGCTGGTAAATAACATATATACATTTCAAGGAATAACATTAGGTAACATGCATATATTGCAATACCTTCACCAACCTTTTTTTCGAATAGCTGCTTAATTACATGATAATGTTAAATTTGATAAGGATAATTATGAAGATGACGATGATCATGCTAACGATCATATTAATGATTAAGATTGATAATAATTTTTACTATATGATAAGATATGATAACATATAAGATATTTTTGATAATTAATTTTTAATTTGTTATCATTCATACGATATTTGATAAATTTGAAATAATATCAGTTTAGGATAAGAATGTCACAATATCTTCGTACGAAAATAAAGTTCTCACCTTCTGTCTTCAGTCTTCTTCTGTCCATCAGTATCCATCAGTATCCATCAGTATCCATCAGTATCCATCAGTATCCATCAGTATCCATCAGTATCCATCAGTATCCATCAGTATCCATCAGTATCTATCAGTATCCATCAGTATCTATCAGTATCCACCAGTATCCATCAGTA